ATTATTTATCATGAAAAGAAAAACCCCAAAACCCCAAAACCCCAAAACCCCATATGCTTGAATATAATTGAGATTAAATTAAGAAATTAATAATTAAATGATTGGAGACTTACTTAAAAAATTTGTTCTTAACTTATTTGTAATTTCATGATAAATAATTTGGCTTTTTCTTTTCTATTTTTTGTTTGGATCTTTAATATTCTTCATACAATTGATCCACTGTAATGATTTTATCCTATTCCTATTTTAATTTCATCTACTTTATAATTTGTGGTCTTAGAACAAGGTCGTAAATAAGAAGTTCATCTTCCATCATAACTTTTCTTCTAAGTGCTTTGCCACTTATGATCTCTTTTGGCCTTTTGAGTTTACTAAGGTCTATTTTCTTGTGTAGCTTTTCATAATTTATTTTTTCTCTTTAAAATGGTAGAGTCTTCTTTATACTCTCGTCGAATTTTATCTTGTCCTATGCTTCCTAATAATTATACTAAAATCCTCCTGAATTTGTAATAGGTGAAATATCCTTCCTCCTTGACTATCTATCGAAGGCTAAATTTTAAAGTCTATAGAATTTATTATTTGCTTCGTTAGTTGAATACTTTCGTTAATAAAAGGATTGAAATTTGAAACGCTCTTCATGAGGCTGGATTACACTCTCAGTGATATCTCTCCTAGGGATCTATTTGTCAAAACTCACACATAAAATAGGTTTGTTCTTTGTAAAATCTGTACCCTCAGAGTTGAATGAGGCATTATACATCTACCTTCTATCAAATGTTGAATGATTCATCATCTCTAGGGATTTTTCCAAATTAGTAGCAGTTTTAGTTCTCTCATGTGCTATTTAACTTCGACTCATTTAGGACCTATTAAGAGTATTATCAAAATTAGTGATATTCATCTCAGTGTTGAAAGGGGAGACCTAGTCTAATGGTTTGTCAAGATAGGCATTCACTTCCTCACTGAACCGATGAGATTTTGAAAATAAATTTGTCTGCGGCCTCTTAAAGACAAATGTGTATTTCGGGACATAATTTCCTGGGGCTGGTGAGGTCTGCCTAGTTTATACCTTTAATACAATGATATTCCAGTTAAAAGTAAAATTCTTACAAAATTCTCTTCCCTTCTTTGTCTCGTTACTGCTAGAAAAGAACTAGTCTTTTTAGGTCTGTTTTTGCCTTTTGGCCATTTTTTCTTGTTAAGAGCAACACTATTGGTATAATTAGTCATAGATTAGATCGGTGGTATCTAATCAAGCTAGTAGTCATGGGTCTTTATTTCTACTTTTCTTAATTGATCTTTGATACTACTTTAATCTTTGTTGACTCTTAGAAGTTTTATCTCATCTAAGATCTTATTTGCTTCTTTATCATTTTTTCTTTCTTTACTGTCTTATTCTTGCTATTTTTTCTAAATTATTATTAAACAACTGCTCTCTTACAAGTTTTTCATACATTCTAATCATCTATTAATGCTGCTAATAGATAGCAGGTCTAAGTTTTGTGATTTCCGATCTAGGCATAAGGTTTTCAGGATTAAACTTTCTACCGCACCTAGATATCGATCTAAGATCAACATATTTGTCCAAATCTATTAATTTATAACTCGATGTTTAGTTTTACCGAATTCAGCTGCTTTCATTAAGGATAGTAAAACTTTATTAAGCAAATAATTTATAATTATATATTATTCAATAATTTGATTCTCTTAATAAAATCAAGTACATACTCTTGGGGTTTTGGGGTTTTGGGGTTTTGGGG